ACGGAAATGGCCATCGTCTTCGCAGATGGGGGTTTTTCAGACTTAATTAAGGAAACTGTGACAAGACTAATTGATTCGGTACCGCGCAATGTCATGTCATTAGCTTATCAACTGTGGCATGGGGGAGCGGATAATATTGTTCGTAACTGTTTCCCATCGCCGTTTGAATTGATTTTCAATGGAGATAACGTCAAAATCATTAATAAAGGATATCTACAGCCGCTGAAGTTGGATGTTAATCTTGATAGTTACAAGGACCGTCTCGCTTGGGGAGACAACATATGTGAATGTGACAGCACACGGCTTAGTTGGAAAATATTACCTGTGTGGGAGAATGACGGTGTCACATTCAAGATATATAGCAACGAATATAACATGTACTTGAAGTTAGACGCCAACGTTGACAATATTGGCGATAGACAAGTTTGGGGATCGACAAATTCGAACGAATCGAGGCACGAATACTATTTGGAGCCTTACTTGAAGAATGATGTTCTTGTGTTCTTTATAATTAATAAAAGATATAGGCAGGGTCTGAAGCTGGATGTGAGTAAGGATAAATATGGGGACAGGTTGCTGTGGGGTCACAACGGTAGCGTTTACAACGAATATGAAAGATTCCGTTGGATTATTTCAAAATTCTAAATTAACTTTTTGACTGGACTGATAACTTGACAAGAGAATTTGTTAATATATAGTATCTACTTAAATATATTTTAAATTATAACCTCACACGATAATGGTGCGCGGGCCTGCGGTCGGCGAGTAAGGGTAGCTCGCCGCCCGACCAGAACCAGACCCGAGCGTACGGCGCGTAGCGTTCCGCGCGCACCTCTAAGAGCCAATAGACCACCACAGACGGGGCCCTAGAGGGCTGATGTTCAGCCGGGGTTGCGGGGTAAGCGCAATGAGGCACCGCGACCTCGGCCCAGAGTAGGAGAAGGAACAGGGGGGTTTTTAGTCAGTAAGAGTCTGATGCCCGTTTTCACCAACAGCCCCTAAAATTTAAGTGTCTCTTAAGCCAATATAAGGGACACTTATCGCGAGTTTTGTTTTCACCAACATTTAAGTGTCACCTATATCATTAGGGGTTCCTTATAATTTAGGGGATGAATTGACGACCCCGTAACGTTTAAGTGACACATAGTGTTAGGTTATTTTGCGAATCACCAAACAGTATTTTATCCTACTGAATAAGATAAAAAATAATAAAAATGGATAATAACCACTATTTATTTGAAGATTTTAAGCAATTGAAGATATGGAATTGTTAAGTAACCGACATTTGTATAGACGACCTCGTATTTATCGTGAAAGATCGAAAGATTTTGAAATATATGATGAAAAAGACTTTTTCATAAGATACAGGTTCCCTGCTCAACCTTACTTGTATTTAAAGAAATAAACCTGTGGCACCGATTAACCAATTATTGTGTGGCCTTAGATTTTATGCAACAGGCAATCAATTATTATCTGTAGCAGATCTCAATCCCATCAGTGTATCTACTTGCAGTAGAATTATGAAAAGAGTGTCTGACATACAATTTCCAGACACCGAAGAAAAACAACAAATAGTAAAAGAAGAATTTTACAGAATAGCTCGATTTCCAAATGTTTTAGGATGTATAGACTGTACACACATAAAAATTCAATTATAAGGTTGGGCGTTTAGAGAAACACAAGTCCTTACGAGTAACCATTTATTACTGAATCTCCTATGAAATAATACATGATTTAATAAGATGGATAGACACGCACACATACAGATACGGCAGATCTTTGTGTCATATTTATTGAGCCTCCAGCGAACACCGTCGTTCGCACACCTATCGTCTTACTATGATGCCTCTTATAATGATATTCAAAAGTCTTTTAAATGTATTAAGTAGTAACCTTCTTTACATTTATTCATGTGATAAATTATAGGAGGAGATGATGCCGAACTATTCCGGAAGAGAAAAGGCAGTATGTCTATTAATATGCAAACAATAAGTACTGCAAAATTATTAATAACTGATGTGGTGACACACTAGCCAGGATAAACAACATTCTTTATCTTCAAGTGAAAAATATTGACCACATTTCCTCTTTTCTGCCATTGTAATTATGTAATAAAAATTTGGTATTTATTGAAAATACACGTAATGATTGAAATGAAACTGTCACTGGATAGTGGCATCAAAATGTCACCGGCACCGCGTCTTTGTAAGCTATGGCATTCAACATACAGCCAAAAAATAAAAACACAACTTTTTGTTACTAATCTAACATTCACCAGTTCAAGACTCTTCTTTTCGAAATAAATTGAAGTTAGAAAAGTTAATTACTTGTTTTAAGGTTGTATATTTACGAAAATAACAATAGAATTGTCTAATCGATTCATTTATCGATAACTGTTTGCATAGTTCCTCAACACTAAACGTCACCTAATTAGGGGGCTCTTAATTAGGTGACACTTATGCCCGTTTTCACCAACAGCCCCTAAAATTTAAGTGTCTCTTAAGCCAATATAAGGGACACTTATCACGAGTTTTGTTTTCACCAACGTTTAAGTGTCACCTATATCATTAGGGGTTCCTTATAATTTAGGGGATGAATTGACGACCCCGTAACGTTTAAGTGACACATAGTGTTAGGTTATTTTGCGAATCACCAAACAGTATTTTATCCTACTGAATAAGATAAAAAATAATAAAAATGGATAATAACCACTACTTATTTGAAGATTTTAAGCAATTGAAGATATGGAATTGTTAAGTAACCGACATTTGTATAGACGACCTCGTATTTATCGTGAAAGATTGAAAGGTTTTGAAAAATATGATGAAAAAGACTTTTTCATAAGATACAGGTTCCCTGCTCAACCTTACTTGTATTTAAAGAAATAAATCTGTGGCACCGATTAACCAATTACTGTGTGCCCTTAGATTTTATGCAACAGGCAATCAATTATTATCTGTAGCAGATGTCAAACCCATCAGTGTATCTACTTGCAGTAGAATTATAAAAAGAGTGTCTGACGCTATCGTGGTTCGTGGCAAAGCGAATTCATACAATTTTCAGACACCGAAGAAAAACAACAAATAGTAAAAGAAGAATTTTACAGAATAGCTCGATTTCCAAATGTTTTAGGATGTATAGACTGTACACACATAAAAATTCAATTATAAGGTTGGGCGTTTAGAGAAACACAGGTCCTTACGAGTAACCATTTATTACTGAATCTCCTATGAAATAATACATGATTTAATAAGATGGATAGACACGCACACATACAGATACGGCAGATCTTTGTGTCATATTTATTGAGCCTCCAGCGAATACCGTCGTTCGCACACCTATCGTCTTTCTATGATGTCTCTATTAATGATATTCAAAAGTCTTTTAATTGTATTAACTAGAAACCTTCTTTACATTTATTCATGTGATAAATTATATAGGAGGAGATGATGCCGAACTATTCTGGAATAGAAAAAGCAGTATGTCTATTAATATGCAAACAATAAGTACTGCAAAATTATTAATAACTGATGTGGTGACTCGCTAGCCAGGATAAACAACATTCTTTATCTTCAAGTGAAAAATTTTGACCACGTTTCCTCTTTTCTGCCATTGTAATTAATAAAAATTTGGTATTTTTTGAAAATACACGAAAATTCACGAAATGATTGAAATGAAACTGTCACTGGATAGTGGCATCAAATGTCACCGGCACCGCGTCTTTGTAAGCTATGGCATTCAACATACAGCCAAAAAATAAAAACACAACTTTTTGTTACTAATCTAACATTCACCAGTTCAAGACTCTTCTTTTCGAAATAAATTGAAGTTAGAAAAGTTAATTACTTGTTTTAAGGTTGTATATTTACGAAAATAACAATAGAATTGTCTAATCGATTCATTTATCGATAACTGTTTGCATAGTTCCTCAACACTAAACGTCACCTAATTAGGGGGCTCTTAGTTAGGTGACACTTAGGACAGTGAAACAAAATTTAAGTTACGGGATGATTTGAACGGTCCCCTAAGTTAAGTGGCCCTTACTAAGGTGACTGTTTAGGGGCTGTTGGTGAAAACGGGCATTAGGACGGTGAAACAAAATTTAAGTTAAGGGATGATTTGAACGGTCCCCTAAGTTAAGTGGCCCTTACTAAGGTGACTGTTTAGGGGCTGTTGGTGAAAACGGGCATGACACTCCCTCCCCCGGCCCTGGGCGGGAAAAGTAATTTGATGATTTTCCCCTCACAAAAAAAATACGTGGTCGTGTGAAATACTCACCTATAACCTATTTTTACATCTTGTAATATAATACCATGTTCCTAGCAAATAAAATTTCTTATTCTTAAAGATATAGTCGTTATTATTTTTCAATTTGTCTTCCAACATACATTATTTCTCTTAGGTACGCTAACAAATCTGAGAACATATATTGAAAACAAAATTTTTCCTCGACAAAATCGAAATAAGTGCTAACTATAATAGCTTGCGGTCAGATAATATGCGGCGGGAATTGAACCCGCGACACGTTGCGTACTAGCCAGTTGTCTATCCGTATTTTCTTCACGCCTAAACTACTGAACCGATTTCATTGAAATTCGGTACAGACATAGTTTGGAACTCGAGAAAGGACATAGGATAGTTTTTATACCAAAAATCTGCAGGAAGTCACTATTCCACGCAGAGTCGCGGGCAAAAGCTAGTTTAGAGGTATGAGGAACAGGGTGGAAAGTTCCTCATCCTCCATTGAAAAGGGAGGATCCTCCGACCAGACGGGTGTTGTGCCTGGTGGGCTACTGCCCGATAGTTGTTGTCGGGATTTTTCTATTGTGCTTATTAGCGCGTAAACTTCACTTGCGCGATGTAGAACCTGTTACGCCATCTGTTGATTATTATTTTTCCATGTATGTGATACTGCGTGTGTGCGATAGATGTCGCTACACTAGTAAATAAATAAATAAAACAAAATATTTTGGTAATACAGTCAAGAAATAAAACATCAATTATATTTATAATGTTATATATTAGTTATATATATAAGATTATTAGCTATTGTACTTGACATAGAATGCAAAAGTATATAACATCTTAAATTGTTTATATTATGTTTCGTTTCATCGCCATAATGCTCTGAAAATAAAAAACAAATAAAAAAACACGTTTATATAGGTCGGTAAACGAGCAGACGGATTACCTGATGGTAAGCAATCGGCGCCGCCCATGGACACCCGCAACATCGAAGGAGTTACGAGTGCGTTGCCGGCTTTTAAGGGATAAGTGTTTCCGATATTTAAGGATTGGGGAGAGATAGGGGGAGGGGTAGGATTGGGCCTCTGGTAACCTCACTCACACGGCGAAACACAACGCTGTGGTTGTTTCACGCCGGTTTTCTGTGAGGCCGTGGTATCACTTCGGTCGAGCCGACCCATTCGTGCCGAAGCATGACTCTGACTATTTAGGAAGAAGTTTTTATAACGTGGGTCAATAAGTCCCGGGGCTGCTTGCCTTCAGGTAATCCATCACATTGAAAATAACATTTATGTATGGGTTTCTGGTCTGAATTAAAGAATTTAGTAGGCGATTTTATTAAAAACTAGCTACTCTCTCGCAGTTTCACTCGCTGCTCAGCTCCGTGTGATCGAAGCGTGATGTTTTATTTCGTAGCCTATACAACTCAGGAACATTGTAGCTATCTATCAGTGAAAGAATTTTGGCAATCCGACCAGCGGTTCCAAAGATTACCCCCTACATATAAACTTACAAATTTTACCTCTTTATAATATTAGTATAGATAGTATAGATAAGAAGTAACTTACATATTAGCGTCTCAATAAAGGCGCACATTCGTTCTGCAACCAATTATATTCTTTAACCAGCTGTCTCTCCTTCAGGATCGGCCCGAGAGTCTCCAATACACGCTTATGATAATTATTAATGTATTGTAACTGCAAAAGAAAGAAAAACATTTATAAATAACTAGTTTATATTCGAGTTTTTCCGTGCGGGAATCGAAACAGTTCAGTTGCCCAGCCACCGCACTAAAGTCGGTTTTATGAGGTCGTTGTATCACGCCTGTCAAGGTACAACTTACCTCAAAATCGGTGAGCATGGATACGTCGATGCAATCTCTCTGGTGTGGGACTAAAGTTAAAGTATGGAAGCCAAGTACGCCACGCCCATCGAAATCTCCTTGCAGACCCGCGACCTGAAACCAAACCATATCACGCTATTATTAACAACTGGCTTATATTCAGGGGAAAATTATCAAATGACTTCTCCCATCCAGGGTAAGGCGAGAGAGAGAGTGTCAGACTCTTGCTGACTAAAAACCCCGTTGTTCCTTCTCCTGCACTGTGCCGAGGTCGCGGTGCCTCATTGCGCTTACCCCGCAACCCCGGCTGAACATCAGCCCTATAGGGCCCCGTCTGTGGTGGTCTATCGGCTCTTTAAGACGGAACGGGCTGAATAAAATAAATGAAATTCTTTGGAGAGGCTTTTACCCAGGTCCACATTACCTAAATTAAATCAACAAAATCAGTCATAATAAAAATTAATTATTATCAGTTGGATTTATTAATGGATTAATATTTAATAATAATTACATCACTTATAATGAAATGTATATACTGTGGAATGAAATAAAGCTAAGTATGTAATTTTTTTTTATTCAGCATATAAACATATAAATTACATTTTTAAATATTTCTTAAAAATAAATAATAAAAAACATTTAAAAATATAAAAAATAGTGTCCCACCGGTATCGGGAACTGGGTCCAAGCTACCGGCGGTCAGGGCTCCAGAGAAAGGAACCTCCTGACAATACGAGCCGTGTCCAGGAGTACCACTTTCTGAATCAAGCCCTTGATCCAGCCACCTAACGAGAGCCTCCTAAGATGTTGGTCGAGGCTCTTGGCTATTAAGCCATTGGCTGACACGACTATCGGTACAATGATAGCTGAATCCACTTCCCACATGTCGACAACCTCGCGAGCCAAGTCGATATACTTGATCAGTTTATCTTTCTCGGCTTTCACAAGGTTCTCGTCATGTGGGACGGCTATGTCAACAATCATTGCACGCCTCTCCTTCCGGTCCACCACCACAATATCAGGCTTATTGGCCGCAATAGTCCTGTCAGTGATGATAGACCGGTCCCAATACAAGGTGATATGACCATTATCAAGGACTGGGTCGGGCTCATACCTGTAGTACGGCACTTCCGATTCCACAAGAGAGTATTTCAGAGCAAGCTGCTGATGTATGATCCTGGCTACAAGGTTGTGCCTATGCAAGTACTCGCCGTTAGCTAGACGAGAACAACCAGAGATTATGTGACGAATTGATTCTCCCGGACGGTGACATGCCCGACAGATGTCAACCGTGCCGTCCTTCACAATAAATCTCCGGTAGTTATTCGTCATGATAACTTCGTCCATAATTGCACAGACAAACCCTTCGGTTTCCCCAAAGAGGTCACCAAAACGCAGCCAGGCTACGGACGCCACCTGGTCTACATCCGGTCCATGTAGGGCTCGGAAAAAGCGTCCGTGAAGCTCCTTGCTCTGCCATACTTCCCTGCGAGCGTTAGTGTCAAGTACGACGGGTTTGTGCCAGTTCTCGATAGCCAGGGAGAGCGGGGTGAGACCTTTGTCCACTGCCACTACATCTCGATGCATATCCACGTCGGCAGCTAGGAAATATTCCCTGAGACTACATACCTCGCGGTTGTGTAGGGTCTTGGCATTTAAAAAGCCTCGACCCCCACACTTCCGCGGGATATACAGTCTCATCACCGACGACCGCGGATGATGCATTCGGTATGCAGTCAGCATTGTTCGGACTTGCCTATCCAGGGCGTCCAGTTCAGTTTGAGACCATTTGAGTACGCCGAAAGAGTACATCAATACCGGCATGACCCAACCGTTGAAGGCGCGCACTTTGTTTCCACCTGAAAGAAAGCTATTAAATACTTTCTTCAGGCGACCAAAGAAACGCTCCTTCAGCGATTGCTTCATGTCAGTGACGTTGATGCCTAAAGCTTCCGACATACCCAAATACTTATAGGTTTCTGTTGGAGAGAGGGACCTTAGGTTTATGGAATCCGTGAGTTGAGTTCCCACAGATTCCACAACCTCCCCTCGTTTTACATGCATGATCGCACATTTGTCCACACCAAACTCCATCCTGATGGCACTACTGAAGGTTTCAGTTAGCTTGAGTAGCTCCATCAGTTGCAGTTTGTTGGGGGCAAAAAGCTTCAAGTCATCCATGTAAAGGAGGTGAGATATAACCTGACCACCTCTCTTCAACCGGTAGCCTAGGCCTGAATTCTCTAGGAGTGTGCTTAGGGGATTCAAGGCTAGGCAGAACCAAAGCGGACTCAAACTATCACCCTGGAATATACCACGCTCGATCCTTACAGGTTCGCTGTTCCTTTGGGTATGTCGACATCCCGGATAGCGAAGGACCGTACTCCATTGCCTCATACAGGACATCAGGAAGGTGCGTAGTATTGTATCAATTTTATACAATTCCAACACCCTCATGAGCCATGTATGAGGAATAGAGTCATAGGCCTTCTTATAGTCTATCCAACATGTCGACAGATTCTTACGGGCACGTCGAACCTGTTGGCTGATGGCCATATCAATGAGGAGTAGCTCCTTAGTACCGCGGGATCCGTTCTTACATCCATTCTGAGCAGTTGACATGATTTTATTTTTGTCAATATGACTATTAATTTTACTTCTCAGTATGGATGTAAGAACTTTATAGACCGTCGGCAGACACGTGATCGGTCTATAATTTTTGGGTTCCGCAGTACTACCTGATTTATGGAGCAGGTGGGTTACTCCTGTCGTTAGAAACTTGGGCAGCGATCCTGACTCTACGGCAGACTGGAATTGAGATGCTAAACGAGCGTGCGCCCTTGTGAACCACTTGATCCAGAAATTGTGCAGTCCATCCGGCCCTGGAGATTTCCAGTTAGGCAACGGACGGACTGCACGAGCAACATCTTGGGGACTAATGTTAATTGTCCCCATTTGTGGTATTGGATCGCACGCGCGTTCGACATCCCGAATCCAGTCACCCTCAGTGTGACTGACAGGCACCGACCAGATGCTGCGCCAGAATGAACACATGGCGTCATCATCCGGGAGGCGTCTATCAGTCACACCATGGTCCGGTCGCTCCCAAGCTCTATACACCCACCTTTCATTACTACGGAATGTGCGATTCTGGGTATATCGTTCCACCCGTCGCCTGTACCTCCGAATACGGTTTGCCCATGCATATACCTTCTGCTTCAGAAAGTCGATGCGCTCTGTGACGCGGGACATATAGTCTCGGGGGCTGATATCTGTCCCCGAAAATGCCCGTCTCACAAAGCGCATCACTCTGGGGCGGGTGTTACCTTCCCTGAAGCAGATTAATTTGCCGATGAGTGCTCTGGCCCCAGCAATACGACACTCAATCCTGTGCTACCAGGCCGGTACAGCTGGTTTCGGTCGTGTGGTTACGTCATTAGTAGGGAATTTGACGTGAGCCACACGACATGCCGCTACGGCCGCGCAGTACATTATCGAGTGTGTATCACCGAGGTCTTCGCAGTCATCTAAATAATTAGATAACTGCGAATCCAGAGCAGCCACCAGCGCTTTATTCTTGTTATGCATGGGCAAACGAGGTAAGCGTGATCTGAGTTCGGGTGATATGTAGCGATATTCCCGAATCGCACATTCCAAAGCACTCCTCAATTCATCAATGCACTGGGTACTTACGTGTGCAACCGTATCAGTACTTTCCTCATCAGCGACGGCACTAACAATACCGTGGCTGGTCAGTGGCAAAGTCGCTGGCACCACAGTCCGCGACGAGGAGGCACTGGCACGGCTACCCATTTCCGTTTGAAGGCGATCAAGCACAGTATCGTCCAGCATACGGTTACGCTGGATGACCCGCACCTGATCCGACAGTCGTTGAGCTGATACGTTGACGGCTGGCTCAAGCACCTGAAACAGAGAGAGCATCCGAACACGGTACGCGGTCAGGTTGTTTCCTCCCTCTGTAGCCCCATAGTATGCGCGCATGACGTTTTCGTTTATTGATTGCGTCCATCGCATGCGCTGCACACTTCCGCCGACGGCTGGGACCCTATCAGAAGCCGGTGGGCCTCGAGGTCCTAAGCGGGCCGGCGGCCGGCGTTCTCCCCGGCGACGCGTAGGTGGTGGTGTCGTCGGCGGTGAATAGTACTCGTCGCTGGAGCTCGACGCAACTGCCACGGCCGGTGTCACATCACTCACGGTGGGGCTGGATTCCGGCGGCGGCGAGGCGGAGCTGAGCGACGAGGCCGGAGGTGGTGGGCGTGCACGACGTGCTGCGGCTCTCGTCAACATGATTGTTTCTTCCAAGTTCTTACGTCATTACCTTTTTTCTCTTTGTCTTATTGTACGAAATTTTCTTCATTTTGTCTGTTTGTGTTGTTGTTTTTGCCAAGGGGTATTTTTTATTTAGTTTATTATTGGTATTATATATATTTGTATTTATTATAATTTTATAAATTTTGAAGAGAAAAAATTTGACATTTCATATTGACATCGAGCCATAGAGTATGTAATTATTATTATTAGTTCAATAGTTGAAATTTGGTTCGGTTGAAAATTGGAAAAAGAAAGAAAGGAAGAAAGAAAGAATTTTTTTTGTAAGTTTTACACCCGGTTTCCAAAAGCCGATCAATGTTAAAATCAATTATTATTATTAGTTCAATAGTTGAAATTTGGTTCGGTTGAAAATTGGAAAAAGAAAGAAAGGAAGAAAGAAAGAATTTTTTTTGTAAGTTTTACACCCGGTTTCAAAAGGCCGATCAATGTTAAAATCAATTTAATCTCTAGTCAAGTCATCTGATAGGTTGACTGCATTATCAACAACCAATCAGATGACTTGACAAGAGATTTAACAGGAGATTAGTTAATTTTAGCGTTGACAAGCCTTTCAGAAACCGGGTGTTAATGTTATTGTATTTTTATTATGTCTATGGAGGTTTTATGTTAATATGATGATTAAAAAACCTCCATGGTTTTGTTTTGTTAAAAAGAAGAAATATTTTGACAAGTAATTGATGTGAATATTATTTTCAGTAAAAAAAAAATTATAAAAAATCGTAGAAAAGAAATATGATGAGAATAAGAGTATACCATTGTAAAGAAATAAACTTTTGAAGTCGTTTTTTTGGTTACAAAGAAGCACAAGTTTATTTTATTTATTTAATTTAAGACATACTGTTATATTATAATATATGGTACCTATAGGATGTATATCAACAAAATCTTACCCTGGGATGGTCCGTTTCCTTCGAAACTCTGATGGTCTCCACAAGGTCTTCGTGTCGAATACCGAACGAACCAACTTTGTAGTAGCCAGGCTCTGGAATTTAAATGTTTGTGTATTTTGAATTATAAAGAAATTTAACACGACAAGAGCCATGCTTCGGCACAAATGGGTCGGCTCGACCGGAGTGATACCACGGCCTCACAGAAAACTGGAGTAAAGCAACACTTATATTGTGTTTCGTCGTGTGAGTGAGAGGCCCCCATCCTCAATCCTCAAATCCCCAATACTTAAATCCCTAATAACCCACAAGAGGTCGGCAACGCACTTGTAGCGACTCCTTTGGTACTACGAATGTCCATGGGCGGCGCTGATTGCTTACCATCAGGTAATCCGTCAGATCTTTTGCGGACTTAGGACATAGAAAAAACACTAACTACTTTTCAGTTTAATTTTAAATAGTTCTCTGTCAAACAGGATTGAGTCTTTGGTACCCTCCGGTAGTTGTTTCACGCCGGCTTTCTGTGAGGCCGTGGTATGACTCCGGTCGAGCCGACCCATTCGTGCTCAAGCATGGCTCTCCCACACTTACTACTCGACTAATCATAACCAATATTCTCAACCGCTATGAATCACAATTCTAAAGTAACTAGGAAAAACTCACCATTACTGAGAACTTGTCCAGGTTTTAGGCCGGGATCGTGAGGGTACGGCCTCCAAGACACTCCGCTGGGTCCCTCGTGGACGTTGAGGAAGTGGCCAACACCGTGGCCAGTGCCGTGGGCATAGTCTAGCCCGACCTCCCATAGAGCGTGACGAGCGAAGCTGTCTAGCACGTTGCCCTATAGCGATATGGGTGAAAATGTAGTTAAAGAATTTTTTATTCTAATAAAAGACCAAAGTCACTTACATGAGAAGCACTAGCCCTTACCCGCGGCGTCGCTCCCGTCATTTGTCTACCTACCCTACTCTTCCTACCTTACTCTACCTACCCTACTTTACCTACCCTACTATAGGTACATTTATCATTAAAACAGAAACAGTGCAATTATCATTAAAACAGAATAAGATTCAAACATTACGCTCATTTAGATTTTTTTTTCTTTTTTTATTAAAGTGGGTACTTCTACCATACATTCAATAGTGGTTGCTGGTTAGCGGTATACGGAAGTTTCCAACAAGTCAAATTCAATACTTTTATCCAAATGTCGCAAACAATACTTTTCTATGAAATTTGTATGAAAAACCGTAAAAAATATCTAAAACTTAGTGTATCGATCGATCATTAAAAAGGTATATTTTTATATAAGAAATTATGCTGTTAAAATGTAGCTTATATGACACGTTCATAGATTTACCATATAGCAGCGCCATCTATTGATTACTTACTCAACCCAGTCGAAAGGTATCGACATCTGTTAGAATCATTTGGAGTTAACAGATAATTGTGACTGTCAAATAATAACAGACAAAATTGCGACTATAATTTGAGATTTAAACTGTCCTATCTCTCAAGTTGGATCGAAGTGCACATGGTGTGCGAATTTTATTATAATCGGTTAAGTGGTTTAGGAGTCCATTGAGGACAAACATTGTGACACGAGATTTATATAATATATTAAGATATAGAGATATACTTATAAGATATTATTAGTCTAAAAGAATTTAATAATTAAAATCTAATCCTACCTTGACTCCTTGCGGGAATAAACAGGCGCCAACCATGATTTGACCCTTTAGCACGCGAGTAAACGCCGACTTCTGTTCCGGAGTGGGCGAGCGCGACATATGACGCGTTCTGGTGATATCCGTTGTGCCATCCCTGGTGATTAAATAAAGAAATTTCAGTGGTAGTACTGCAAACCACTCTATTGGTGAGACCCCGACAAAGAAAATGCTGTTAATCCCGAGGACTATAACTTGCAGAGTTGGAACGTAAAGTCTGCCAAGTGTTGGGATTATGGCAAAAATTCTTATAGAGGAAGGCCAGATCAATTTCTCTTAAAAAGTAAAAGATCTGCATTAAGATGTGAACGTAGATGATGATTATAATACGAAGAATTTTTTTCAGGGAAATATTATTTTGGAGTTATGAGAGAACAAGGTGTAAAGTTCCTCATCCTCCATTTAAAAGGGAGGATCCTCCGACCAGACGGGTGTTGTGCCTGGTGGGCTACTGCCCGACAGTTGTTGTCGGGGTATCTGTATCGGTGCTAATTGTGTAGAAAACTCTTATAGCGCGATGTAGAAACTTGCACGTGTGCTGTGCGATAGATGTCGCTACATTATCATGACTTCTTCCGTCCAGGGTGAGGCGAGAAGGAGTGTCAGACTCTTACTGACTAAAAACCCCCCCGTTCTTTCTCCTGCTCTGTGCCGAGGTCGCGGTGCCTCATTGCGCTTACCCCGCAACCCCGGCTGAACATCAGCCCTATAGGGCCCCGTCTGTGGTGGTCTATTGGCTCCTTGAGGCGCGCGCGGAACGCTACACGCCGTACGCTCGGGTCTGGTTCTGGTCGGGCGGCTAGCTATTCTTACTCACCGTCCATAGACCCACGATGATGATGATGATGATGATGATGATGATGATGATGATGATGATGATGATGATGATGATGATGATGATGATGATGATGATGATGATGATGTGGATAATAAAACTTACATGTATTGTCCACCGGAGTCAAGAATGAACATGTCGTCCTTCTCGATGATTTTCTGCGGTCCATCTCTGGAGGGGGAGTAGTGGATGATGGCCCCGTTTGAGCCAGACCCGGGGATGGTAGCGAACGAGGGACCCATGAAGTTTTCTTCAAGCCTGGAAGATAAAATTTAAGTAATATATTTAAATAGTCAGTTATGTTGTGGTGGCTCGGAGGTTAAGGAGCCCACTTCTCATGCATGAGGGTTCGAAACCTGGCAAGTACCAATGTGACTTTTTCCGAGTTATATGTAGTTGCTGGTGGTATAGTGTCGGGAGTTTATAACAAAATTTATAAACGATTCGATGTGAATACAAAAGCGATTGGATTATTCTTTACTTTGTAGTATCACTGACTTTAATTCATGAACCTCCAAGCGAACGCCGGCGTTCGGGCACGTATTGTTCTTCTATTATGTCTCGAATAACCACAATTGAAACGTTAGTAAGAAGCCTACCCAACATACTCTTTGAATTTTTGACGTCAAAAAATCCTTTTTTTTCTATTTTTGCTTAATAGATGGCGCTGATCTCGTTAAAATAATACGTCAAATGGCGTGACGCTAGCTAATGAAGATAAATTTTTAGATGCATTATTTGTATTTGATCTTTACTTTTAATAACAGTTGTTTATATATGTCTATACTAATATTATAAAGAGGTATAATTTGCAAGTTTGTATGTAGGGGGTAATCTTTGGAACCGCTGGTCGGATTGCCAAAATTCTTTCACTGATAGATAGCTACAATATTCCCGAGTGCTATAGACTATAAAACATCACGCTACGATCAAATGGAGACGAGCAGCGGGTGAAACCGCGTGAGAGTAGCTAGTATGTGATAATAAAACCTAGTTTTTTTATATATTTAATTTACTTACTTGCGAAACTCGAGTAGTTTATCGGAAGCTTGTATTTCCGAAACTACTTTACCGCCATCGATTTCTTCGTGAAGCCATTTCAGAAGACGCACAACCGCTATGCCGTCGCGTACGTGGCAATCTCGGAAACCCTGTTATAAAACATGCTTCTAAGTATTTTTTTTCTTGAGGCAGAGGTATATATACACAATACCGTAGTTTCCAACTAGTCAAATTCAATACTTTTAACCAAACGTCAAAAACGATAATTTTCTATGAAATTTGTATGAAAAACTGAGCTATGACGTCATAACTTTTTTGCGTCAAATAGCTTACTTATTTCTTAATAATTAGCTAAAAAAAAACTAAAAATGAGTATATTGATAGATTGATGAATAAAAGTATAGTTATTTTTCAATACTTTATTGTATTCAAACGTCGAAATAATTTATTTTTGACCTAGGAAACTACCCAATTGGAAAACGTAATGTGTATCAGTAACTCTAGATGTTATGAAGCAAATTGTATTTTGTTTTCTGAATGTTGTATTTATTTTTGTGTATATTAGAGGAAGTTTGAAAGTGGCGGCAGTGACTGAAAATTTGAAAGGGAACCGTTTGTCTTGGTATGGCCATGTGAAAAGGAGGGATGAAAAGCATGTTACAAAAAAAAGTCATGAGTATAAATGTGGATGGATGGAGAGGGAGAGGGAGACCAAAGAAAATATGGATGGATTGTGTGAGAAGTGATATGGAAGTCAGAGGAGTTAGTGATAGCGTGACGAGTGACAGGACAGAATGGAAGAAAAAAACATATTGCGCCGACCCCAAATAAAACGGGACAAGGGCAGGAAGATGATGATGTGTACAGTTGTTACTGGACTGCAGATTTATAATTTGTGTGTAGTGTAGTATTCAATCTTTGTCTGGTTTGCTGTCTGTTACTGTACCTATTGAATAAAAATAAAATAAAATAAGGCGCCTGCTTCTCAAGGACCAGGGTGCAGGTTTAAAACGTGGCAAAAACGATTGCGACTTTTTCGGAGTTATATGTACTTTCAATAATTATTTAGACACAACCGGTGAAGGAAAGCATATGTTTTTTAGCTTTATTTAGATTACCTGATGGTAAGCAATCAGCGCCGCCCATGGACACCCGCTACAGAGGAGTTACGATTGCGTTGCTGTCTTTTTGGCGATTAGGGATTTGGAGATTTAGGGATTGGGGGAGGGGAAGAATTGGGCTTTCAGTAACCTCACTCATTGGTGTCGAAGCATGGCTCACCTACATTTAAACATTATGAGGTAACCTGGACTTACAATTTCCAATTTTAAATTAAATGTAAACGCCAATCAGCATTGAGCAAGCGTGGTGATTAATTCTCAAATTTCCCATACATTTTTCGCTCATGAATAAGAGTTCCGTTGTGACTGTAACTATGTAATAGAGTTTTTCTAAAGATCATTCCATAAATCATAGCCGTGTCATTTCAAGGAATTTAGTTAGTTTTCGAGCAGCGCAGCGACGATGCCAAGAAAGCACGCACGCACGAATATGAATCCTGTTGTGACTTGATTAGTCTTACTAATATGATAAATGAATAACGATGTTTGGATGTTTGTTACTCAATCACGCCAAAACGGCTCGATGGATTTGGATGAAATTAAGCACAGGCATAGGACACCTTACGGAATAAGACATAGGCTTCTTTTTATCAACTTACTACGCGGTCAAAGCCGCGGGTGGAAGCTAATTTTCAGTAAATGTAGTTAGTGGAGTAACAACGCGAGCAGGTTGCAGTAATTTTAAAATATAATTATTTATAGGTACTTACTTGTAATTCGACATCATTCTTAATCAGCTTCATGAGACTGACGGGCGATACTTCCGATATTATATTTAGTGGGGTCGGTAAAACGTCAGCCTGGAAGAGAACAGATATTCGTAATATATTTGTTAAAAAACCATTTTAATGTGTTTTTTATCTATTATCAAGGCGGTATAAAGTTGAAAGTCTACTTGTCAACAAACAACTTATTTTTATGACGAGGTATTGGCTATAATCACCGGACTTGGCTGAACCTTTAGGGATCAAAATTAAAGTGAATTTTTATTCAGACCGTCTTTTAAATCACCGATCATTTAGTGAAAACTAAGCAGGGATTTCCAAGTCGTCTGCCAAGTGTGGGGATTAATAAAAGTTATTAATATTAGATTTTGAAGCTGATGTAGTAGTTCTGTGCTTACCCCAGACGCCGCTCTGTGTATCGCCTCGCTGGCATCACTAGAGAGCCAGATAGAATGCTTGCCTCCCGTCTGACTTAGTTCTTTCTGTAATTAATAAAATAAAATTTATTATAATTATGGTGATGGCTTAGTAAAATACAGTGTATTCTACGCTTTCCGCGAAATCTGCTAGAAACGACAGCTGTAAGACCGGCGGCAGCGAGCAGTGTTCTCTGATAAACCTTAACCATTCAGACTGCAATTTCTTACCCGCTTTCAAACTTGGGGATTATGGCAAACCTGTCGTATACGTGTATACGATACTATTATTCAGCAGTCGTCTGACACAGGATAAGTATATAAGAGGATTTTCCATAATCACCACGGTTAGCAGACAGTTTTAGTCTCAATTTTCAGTGAACGTTGGCGCCCGGATTTAGCTTAGCTTATACACCCGCTGAAAGAGTAGCAATAACTAAATATATTTACAGTCTAATAAAAATATCCTTCATCATCATCCTAAAGTGCCCACTGCTGAGCAAAGGCGTCTTCTCACACGGAGAAGGTTTGAGAATTAATCACCACGCTTGCTCAAGGAGGATTGGCGATTTTAAATTTATAATTCAAAATTATAAGTCCAGGTTTCCTCACGATGTTTACCTTCACCGTACCTATGTCAGTGGTGTCTAAATAATCATAGAAAGTACATATAACTCGGTAAAAAATCACTTTGGTATATGCCAGGTTTCGAGCCCGCAATCCCTTGCATTAGAAGCTAACTGTATTTAAACACCACAGCCATACGGTGAAGGAAAACATCGCCAAGAAACCAAGACTTATAATTATTATTCCTAATTATAAGTTGGATATTACCAATTACCTTGACCAAGCGTGGCGATTACTGCAAAAACCTTCTCCGTGTGAGAAGAGGTCTTTGCTCAGCACCGAACACTTATAGGCTGGCGATTATTATGCCATATACTTACAGCCATATTCCTCAACTGTTCTTCGACGCTATCGTAAGGGTAGCGTTGTAATTGCACGTTCTCTTCTGACAATTGCAAGCATGCAGCCGGCGAGAGCTCTTTGGTCGTGAATAGGAGAACCGCAGAAGGAGTTATTATCAAGTAGGAGAAGAAGACTGGGTTGTATTCTATGTCGCTGCCTCGGAGGTTGAGGGTGTCTGTTGATAAACGGCCGGTGTTAGGACGTGTGGACGGAATTGGGCGCTTGGAGGGTAATATGGTATTGGTTACTAATATTGAATGTATTCAAAAGGACGTGGCCGGAATTAGACCTTGGCCGGTATAGAACTTGGTGAAAATTAGACCTTGGCTGGTATTAGAACTTGGTCTGTATTAGAACTTAATCTGTATTAGAACTTGGCTGTTATTCGAAACTAGGCCGTCATTAGACCTTGGCTGTTATTAGAACTTGGCCGTTATTAGAACTTGGCCGTCATTAAAACTTGGCCGTTATTAGAACTTGGCCGTCATTAAAACTTGGCCGTCATTAGATCTTGGCCGTTGTTTGAAGTTGGCCGTCATTATAACTTGGCCGTCATTAGAACTTGGCGGTTATTAGAATTTGATCGATATAAGAACATGGCCGGTAATAGAACTTAGCCGGTATTAGAACTTGGCCTATATTAGAGCACGGCCTGAATAAGGCACTTGCAGGTTAATACGCTATTGAATGTTAAACATGTGTACATGTATGTGTGATCTTAGTAAGGCCGGAATTAGGTGAGTGCCTATTTGAAATTTATTAAGACAAGTCAAGAGTCAATCTACATTAAACTTAACATTGAAGAGGGTACCTAAAATTATAAGACAGGAATTAGGAACACGCCGATATAAGGAACAATTAGGCGTATCGTATTAAGTCCAACTCACATGCAACTTCATCCAAAGCAGTGATGACCAGAGCCGATGCTTTCTTCTCCTCCATTTTGGCACGAAGTTCAGATATCTTCTCGCCAGCCGACTTGCCTGTGGAAAGAATAATATCAGATCTTTACTAGCAGACCCAGCCACGCGTTGCTGTGGCTAAGGTAAATACAGGGTGTAAAAAGACACTTAACGAAGCCGAAAGCCACGTATTGTACCCATTATTTGGATCATTTTTTCTTTAAGACCATAGCTGGGACTCCACGGGTATCGAATTCTAAGTATTATTACAAAACTTTTTTCCAAATAAACATTACCTGAATTTTCGATTTTTCTAAATAAATTACGCATTTGAAGTTACGAACAGTAATGTACGTAATAAATAAATGCAGACCCGCACAAAAAACATCGTGCATCTCAGTAGGATTTTTATTTTACAGAATTGTTTTGTTGTTGCGAAGTAAAACGTCGACCTACGTACTTATCACAGCGTTTTAATGCTAAGCTGTGAACCTACGCACACAATGACACGAAGCCCGTTTGCTTTACATTGCGCGCAATAAAATTTTTTTTTTTTTGATACCTAATTATAGATGTCGTTTCCCAGTGATAATTTTAGCGTAAAGCTACTTAGTTAGAACTGCAGTATGCGTAGTTAACGGCTTCGTTAAGTGTCTTTTTACACCCTGTATTATTGTGACTATAAATTGAGATGTAAGCTATCCTATCTTTAAAGTTGGATCCAATTGCACACGGAATGCAAATCGAATTTAAGTTTAGTAGTTTAGGAGTCCATCGCGGACAAACACGTGACACGAACTTTTTATATATAAAGAGATTCTTTAGGGAACTTAAGATTCTTTAAGTTCTCTAAGATCGGAGAAGGAGGATCCTCGGACCAGAAGAGATGATCGCTTGATCACGCTGCCCGCCAGCCTTTTAAGTTGGGATTTTCTGATTGAGAGACGATCTCCGGACACCGTAAGTGCGGGTCTGCGGACGGCGAGTAAGGGCAGCTCGCCGCCCGACCAGAACCAGACCCGAGTGTACGGAGCGTAGCGTTCCGCGCGCGCCTCAAAGAGCCAATAATTCTTCAACCTATAAGTGTCTATTGCTGAGCAAAGGCCTTTTCTTACTCGATGAAGAAGGTTTCAGCATTAATCACCATAATATTTAATGGCATAGATCCTCAGCCCTCAAATCCCAGATCCTTAAATCTCTAATAAACCACAAGAAGTCGGCAACGCACTTGTAATAACTTCTTTGGTATTACCAGTGTCCATGGGGGGCGGTGATTGCTTACCATCAGTTAATCCGTCTTTTCTTTCTTTATTTCTACTCTGACATTGAAAAAAAATTTTCCTCACGATGATTTCCTTTTCCGTATGTCAGTGGTGTCTAAACAAAACGCTGTAGTTATTTCACGCCGGTTTTCTGTGAGGCCGTGATATCACTTCGGTCGAGCCGACCCATTCTTTCTTAAGCAAGTCGAGGCTTACCACCCACATTTATATTGAAAAAATATAAAAAACCTAAATTTTTTAATGAAAGCATAATAATAAATAAAGGATGGCAAACTAGCAGACGGATTATCTGATGGTAAGCAATCACCATGGACACCAGCAACAACAGAGGAGTTACGAGGTCGGCAAGACCTTTTGGAGATTTGGTGATTTAGGGATTGGGGATGGGGATGGATTGGGTCTCCGGTAACCTCACTCACACGGCGAAACACAACGCTGTGGTTGTTTCACGCCGGTCTTCTGTGAAGCCGTGGTATCACTCCGGTCGAGCCGACCCATTCGTGCCGAAGCATGGCCCTGTCATAAAAGTGAACTTACCAGTATATTTAATAGGCAACGCAATGATATCGTTGGATGGTCGCGGAGGTAAATGTTCTCCGCATTGTTTCCTTGCTTCATCCACCAAGTTGGCACCGACGGGCACAAGTTGCATGTTGCGTTTATTCAAAGCAGCCTACAACAAAAATAAAATAGATAGATAGATAGATAGATAGGACATTTATCCAGCACAAACAATAGCAGAGACAAATTTTATCTATAATCATAAACATATTTAATCTATAATCTAAAATAATATACTACTATATACTAAATGCGAAAGTAACTCTGTCTGTCTGCCTTTTCTTCACGCCTAAACTACTGAACCGATTTCTGTGAAATTTGACACAGACATAGTTTGGAACTCGAGAAAGGACATAGGATAGTTTTTATACAAAAAATCTGCAGGAAGTCACTATTCCACGCGAACGGAATCGTTAGCAAAAGCTAGTTAACAAATAAATGGGAACATAATACAAATTAATACGATAGTAATACAAAAAAATAAACCCAAAGACCAAAAAATATTATAAAATTAAGTATTAGACAGACGGGTAGTTAGTACGAAAGAAAGAACACAACTACAGAGAAAAAGGAGAAAAAATTAATAAAATAGAGATAGAATATAAAAAATATGGGGTCCAACAGGGTTGATGTTAAGCCGGGTTCGCTAGTCAAGCGCAATAAGGTACCGCAGCCTCGGCTTAGAGCAGAAGAAGGAACGGGGTGATTTTTATTCAGTAAGAGTCTGACACGACACTCCCTTTCGTCATATTCTGGGCGAGAAAAGTCATTTTGATTATTTTTCGATGTTCAAAAAACTGTCTAGTTGGCCCCACCTCTTGGCTTTTAAGTGTATGAGAGCCATGCTTCGGCACGAATGGGTCGGCTCGACCGGAGTGATACCACGGCCTCACAGAAAACCGGCGTGAAACAACCACAGCGTTGTGTTTCGCCGTGTGAGTGAGGTTACCGGAGGCCCAATCCTTCCCCTCCCTCAATCCCTCCTCAATCCCTAAATCTCCAAATCCCTAATCCCTAAAAGGTCGGCAACGCACTCGTAACTCCTCCGTTGCGTTGGGTGTCCATGGGCGGCGCTGATTGCTTACCATCAGGTAATCCGTCGGCTCGTTTGCCGACCTATTACATTAAAAAAAAACCTCTGATGGTCCTATGGCTCTTTACGATAAGGAAAGCTAGAAAGAAGAAGAAGTGAAGAAGAAGAAGTGAAAGAAGTCTCATTTAACCTTACCTGTAGAGGACTCCATTCGTCCCTTGAAAACGTGTGAGGATCAACGCCGACCGCAGCGCCATCTGTCAAATTGCTCACCAACCATTTCTCCATAGTCGGGGTTTCAGGTAAGGCTGGATAAAATAATCAAAGCTTATAATGCAATAAGGTAGTTTCCAACTAGTCAAATTCAATACTTTTATCTAAATGTCAAAAACGATACGTTTCTATGAAATTTGTATGAACACTGAGTTATGACGTCATAGTATTTTTGCGTTAAATAGCTTACTTATTTCTTAATAATAAGCTAAAAATTAGTGTATAGATCGATCGATGAATAGAAGTATAGTTATATTACAATATTTTATTGTATTGAAACGTCGAATTAATTAATTGTTGACCTAGGAAACTACCTAATTATTATGTCAACATAGTCTGGGAATTTCAATCAGACCTAAATACCTACATTTTACTAACGTTTTAAAATCAACCTTGTTTCAGAATCTATACGATTTGTGTAATGGTAAGTGTTAAATTGTCATAAAGAATACATAGCAAGTCTCTGTTCCTAGGTCTCTTATTATCGATTGCAGTCATCATCATCATCATCATCAGCCTATAATTGCCCACACCTAAGCCAAGACATTTTTTTCAAACAGAGACAGTTTGAGGCTTAATCAGTACGCCAGCTCACGGCGGATTGACGATTTCAAACTTTAAAATTATAAGTTTAAATTCACAATGTTTTCTTAACCATATATGTCAGTAGCGTCTAAATAATTTCAGAAAGTACATATGATTCGGAAAAAGACACTTGTTTGGTGCTCGCCAAACCGTTGTAGCGGTAATAATTAATTAAAAAAAATACTCACATTGCTTCATCAGCGTCCACAATGAGAGATCAGCTTCCTGTTCGAATTGCGTGTAATATCTGCCGTCAGTCCAGAGCAGGGCAGATGATGGAGTCACCACAGCCGTACCAGCGGACCCGGTGAAACCAGACAACCATTCCCGACGGGCGTCTACTGGAGCTATATATTCGGACTGCAGAAGACCATGAAAAGACCAAGAGGAATATTAGATAATAGCCTTTAGCAGCGACTTCACCTGCAATACTGGGGTAAAAAGTAGCCTACCTAAAATATACTGGGTACCTATAACCTTTTTTTGAGAGGGCAAAATCATCAAGACTCCCTTTTCATCAATGATATTATAAGTAAAAAGGTGTAGATAGGTTACAAGCGCTCAGCAAGTGATACATTAAAATGTGGCTAACCAGCCACACTTTTTCATATTTGTCTCTTTTTCACTCGCGATTATTGAATCATGCCATCCCACTTTGACGTCTATACGTGTGTGCAAATCGAATTTTGGTTAGGTAAAGGTAACCTATCTACACCATTTTACGTATAATATCATTGCTTTTCATGGTGTTTGATGTGTAAGTCATTCTGTCTCCTTTAAATTTATGTTGCTTCCGTCCGTACGTCACTGCAAGGGTGCCAACTGAAAACCAGTGTTGGGTTCTTATTGAGCCCAACTTATACTGAGATGGCAACCCTTTTGGCATGGGTATGCTGTTCTCTTGTTATGCTTAAATTTTTAGTTGTTTAAGCACTTTTTTTTTTACATATTTATTTTAGTTCCTAAGCTAACATTGTTGTTTTAGTTTGTTGTTTACCTTTTTTTTTTATTGTAATTATTGTACATATCTTTGTTTTTTTCCCTAATTGTTCATGCCAAATAAATTATTTTTCTTTCTTTCTTTCTTTCTTTCTTTCTCCTGCATTAAATTTACCGAGGGAACTGGAAACTAAGTATTTAGTTTTATCTACGTCTCAAATAATGTCTTCTGATTTATTTCGTTGCGGGATCCAAGACTCCCAATCATGTCCCTAGGGCGGAAATTCAGTGTTCCGGTGTTTTCAAGGTTGTATCTTCTGTAGAACCTGGCTTACAAAAGTTGCAGCGATTTCTTCCCATTAAAAAAACAAACAAATCCGCGTGAACAATGTAGTTTAGAAGTGGTAAATACTTACATTATGGGCATCACAAGTAGGCACAATGTAAGCTGCAAGCGGTTTTGGCTGACTTGCCATAATCGCCCGAAGAGCGGAAAGCCGTTGCAGGGACATCTTATGGAGGTCTGTGAAAACATAAATACATTTTTCATTCAATTTATCCACGACTTGCTATTCTCGTGCGGTTTCACCCGCTGCTCGGCTCCATTTGATCGTGGCGTGACATTTTATGGCCTATAGCACTGGACAGGAACGTTGTAGCTATGTACCAGCGAAAGAATTTTGGCAATCCGACCAGCGGTTCTAAAGATTACCCCCTACATACAAACTTACAGATTTTTTTTTGCTTGCAATAAACTAGTTCTCGACTGCGACCCCACCTGATGGTAAGCAGTGATGCAATCGTTGATGGTAAGGCGCACTAGTTTATTAAGAGCCTATTCACTCTAGCCTTGAAGACACCTAAATTGTATTCGGACGGAAAGACTGCAGCCGTTTACCTCTTTATAATATTAATATAGAAAACCATTTTAAAGACGCGGCCGTTCATTCTCAGGTTTCAGCCATTTTTCCAAAGCTGCACATTACCATGTAAGAAATTAGACAAGTTTAAATGATGTCCGTAATCACTAAGAATCATGCGGAAGGGATTTCCGGGATAAATGCGAAAAGAACATACAGCATGTGACTACGAGGCAGAATGTAGAGGACTGAGGGAAGGGTTTCCTTGGAGAACAGGGTGGGATTTATGGTGGAGATGAATAGGAAATCCGGGGTTGCGGGTTAAGCGCAACGAGGCACCTTGGCCTCGGCCTAGAGCAGCAGAAGGAACAGGAGGGTTTTTAGTCAGTAAGAGTCTGACGCTCCCTCCCGCCTCGCCCTGGGCGGGAGAAGTTATTTGATGATTTTCCCCTTACAAAAAAGTGGATAGCAAATGTTATGTCAAAACTATACATAGTCTATACTAATATTATAAAGAGGTAAAATTTTTAAGTTTGTATGTAGGAGTGATCTTTGGAACCGCTGGTCGGATTCCCAAAATTCTTTCACTGATAGATAGCTATGTTCCTGAGTGCTAAAGGCTATAAAACATCACGCTACGACTAAATGGAGCCGAGCAGCGGGTGGAACCGCGCGAGAGCAGCTAGTATGAAATAAAGTCGCTTTCTCTATCAATGTAAATAATCTATGTAAAAGTTGTCTAAAAATTTAATCAGGTATTTACCTAAATCGATGTAAGCTAATAAATTAAGCATTTTATAATCTTTCTATGTATTTTAAACGAGCTCTTTAAAATAAAAAGACATACAAATATCGTTTATCTTAAGGTTAACCTCCACAACCGATCGACCATAGAACTATAACTAGCAAAAATAACAAAAGAAATCTAACCTTTATTTAACCTATTGTGTTTGATATCTCCATGAGCTGCGGCGCACGACCAAAACACAGCGTTACTGCAAAAAACAATAAACTTGGTCAGTAGGTACATATTTACTACTCACCGATTGATTTAAACAATGGGGTGATAAAATGTAAAGTATATATGTTTTGTGTTTTCATTTGTAGGTATACTAATATTATAAAGAGGTAAACTTTGTAAGTTTGTATGTAGGGGGTAATCTTTGGAACCTCTGGTCGGATTGCCAAAACTCTTTCACTGATAGATAGCTACAATGTCCCTGAGTGCTATAGGCTATATAACATCACGATACGATTAAATGAAGCCGAGCAGCGGGTGAAACTGCGCGAGAGTAGCTAGTTATCTACATAGTAACATATATACACACACACACACATAACCTATGAGTGCCCACTGCTGTAGAAAGACTTCTTCTCACACAGAGCGGGAATGCGAGCCTTAAATAGATATTTTATTTAGCCGGGGTTGTGGGGTTGCGAGGCACCGCGACCTCGGCCTAGAGCAGGAGAAGGAACGGGGGGGTTTTTAGTCAGTAAGAGTATGACACTTCCTATCGACATACGCTGGGCGGGAGTAGTCATTTACTGATTTTACTCAAACAAAAAAAAAGTAGATTTTTAAATCTTTACGTGATAAGACGGTAAACGCGCAGACGGATTACCTGATGATAAACAACCAGTGGAGTTACAAGTGCATTGCGACCTTATTTTGAGATTGGGGGAGGGGAAGAATCTTACCCACACAAGGCTGTGGTTACCTATATCACGCCGGTTTTCAGTGAGGCCGTGGTATCAATCCGGTCGAGCCGACCCATTCGTGCCCAAGCATGGCTCTCCCATACTTTTTTCGAAACCCCACTCAACTATGTCTCAAACCTTAATCACTACGCTTGGTCAAGGAGGATTGCCATTCAAACGTTTGATTAAAATTTTTATGTCCAGATTTCGTAGAAGGTGGTCATTAAGATCATTTTCGAAAGGGAAGTAAAGGAAAATTTAGTGCGTCTACATTTCTTATTTAAAAAAACCCCCCCCGATCTCCGAAACCGGGCTTTTCGTCTGTTTTATATGAGGCCTTGAGATCACCTACGCTGATCATTTATGTGCCGATGCATGAATCTCCCACATGAACCCATAAGAAATCACGGTGTTATCTTTTTTCATATCGAGCTTGGCACAGGGCTAGTTACAGCTTTTACAATTTCTTGTCCAACAAAAGTAAACAAAGATACAAAGTTACAATACCATTGCAAATATACCAAACGTACCAGGCTGCTTATACAGATTTTCTCTTAAAAATACGAATGTAACTAGCCAAGAGACGACATCAAACTGAATAGGTATCGTTATTCTATGGAAGTCTATGGATAAAGTTTCTTAGAAGGAACAAAATATCAGGTATCAGTATGCAACAATAGGTATGATTCCCGTGGATCCCGTTTTAACTACATTTTTAGGCCACAAAATTCCGTAAAAAGCCCTTAAAAATTTCAAAAGACTTTAAGTATTTGTACTTAAGATACGTTACTTACTTGGTAAAAATAATTAAAAAAAACACTCACGTAATCGTAAAAATAATTAACACGCACTTCAGCGACATTGCTAACTATAAAAAAATTAAAAACTACAATCAAAAACACACGATCCAACACCAAAATCAAACAATCATTCAAAAATTCAAAATAATTATTTGAAAACTGACGCCATTTTTTAGCAAAATATGACAACTGTCATTGTGAAATTCCCGCCAACTTTTGAATGCGTTCACAAGCAGCGTGCGTGTATCTCGATCTATTTGACATTCATAATAGGTTACAATGGAGTTGGTAAAGGTATATTCACCTTGACAAAAGAGAACGATTGCAGCTAAATAAATGAAATAGTTATTGGGCAACAATGACGTTTTAGTTTTATTTATTTGGACCAGCGCTCAAAATGTATGATGAAGGAACTCTTATTCCCCAGAATGACTGTTGTCTGTGGCATTGGTCGTATTAGCATCATCATCAGCCTGATTCTGTCCACTGCTGGATATAGGCTTCCAAAATTACACGCCACTGAGCTCAATATTTAGCTCTTCTCTTCCAACCACTGCCAGCCACCCTGCGGATATCGTCAATCCACCTAGCTGGAGGGCGCCCTACACTATGCCTAGACGTGGTCTCTACTCTAGAACACGTCTACTCCAACGGTTATCGGTTCTTCGACAAATGTGACCTGCCCACTGCCGCTTCAGTTAGCTCATCCTTTGGGCTATGTTGACAACTTTAGTTCTCTGTCGGATCACCTCGTTTCGAATACGATCCTTCAGAGAATATAAAAAATTGGCGTTTGTCTATTAATGATGATTGAAAAATCCAAACTAATATTGTAAATACGAAAGTAACTCTGGCTGTCTGTCTGCCAGTCTGTCTTTTCTTCACGCCTAAACTACTGAACCTAATTGTATAAAATTTGGTACACATAGAGTTTGGAACTCGAGAAAAGACATAGGATAGTTTTTAAACAAAAAATCTGCAGGAAGTCACTATTCCACGCTAATTGCTACATAATTGCTTATACTTGCTGCATATTATGATTCGTTTAACGGAGTTCGGGTTGGGAGTTCAATTGGAAAAGGTAAAAATAAAATATGTAGGTACCTACTCAAAAATATATATTTCGTGACTTTTTACTGACATTTTTTTTTATTAACCTTTTGAACGCGTCTTTAGTATACCAGTGGATAGTTCCGTACAATACAATAGGCTATCAATTTACAGTTAACTTTGTACTCTATTCAAAACACGTGGAGTCCAAAATAACTTTTCCCAGGTAGCTGATAATGCAACCTATTTTTAAATGACATACTTTTTTCTAATTATATTGAGAAAAGTGTTCAAGGATTTATGCTTAAATACAATACCGCCAACGTATCTTGGCGAGTCTGAAGTTAGCCGATTAGCTGCGCAGTACACAATTTTGTTCCTAAAAGATCGACCGTACTGTAAATAAGGGTAGTCGGAGGTGTTGTTTTGTTGGGGTTCTATTTTTAAACAGGCGTCCAAACGAATTGCCGTATCTGATGAACAATGGACATATTCCCACTCACAACATCAAGTTACTTTAAGTGTGGGAGAGCCATGCTTCGGCACGAATGGGTCGGCTCGACCGGAGTGATATGGCTACCACGGCTTCACGGAAAACCGGCGGCGTAAAGCTACACTTACGTTGCTTCGCCGTGTGAGTGAGGTTACCGGAGGCCCAATTCTTCCCTTTTCCCCCCATCCTAAATCCTCAAAACCCCGATCCTTAAAAGCATAATGACCTACAAGAGGCCAGCAACGCAATTGTGGTAACTTCTTTGGTACTACGAGTGTCCACGGGCAGCGCTAATTGCTTACCATCAGGTAATCCGTCTTCTCGTTTGTCGACCTATGAAAAACAAACAAATGCGTTGGTAGTAAAAAAATAGGCTCATTTTTGAAAGCTTCCCGTAGGGGACGGGGGTTAAGTCAGTAAGGCACTTCCTCTAGCCCGGCCCAGCGGCGGGAGAACTCGTGTAAAGATTATCCCCTAACAAAAAAAACCTACCTTATTTATATAAATGCAGCAACAAATAAAATGTATCTCCTACAACAGAAGATAAACAGTGAACTGAAGTTACCTATCTATTTCTTATCTTGCCAAGGCAATTGTTTTATAGATAAATCTGTTTATTGACAACTTTCCAACTGCGGCATCGTTCGAGTGAAATTTAAATTTCTTGTTTCTTTCACGGTACGCTCACACGCTTGCCGAGCCTTGGCGAGCGTCCTCAAGCTCCAGGCCTTAAACCCAACGTTTAAATACTTCGCAAACGCTTGCAGAAATTTCCTTTGATCTCTTTCCAAAAACGACCAGCTCTTGCAAGTTCATGCAAGCCACGCCAAACATTCTGCCTGTCTGTCTGTCTTTTCTTAACGCCTAAACTACTGAACCGATTTCTGTCAAATTTGTTTGGAACTCGAGAAAGGACATAGGATAGTTTTTATACTAAAAATCTTCAGGAAGTCACTATTCCACGCGAACGGAGTCGAGGGCAAAAGGCTAGTAAATAATAAAAAGATACAGGTTAAAAATATCGGAAGAAAAATGGCCTATGTTAGGAAAACACTCGAAAAAAGGTAAGGTTAGCAATGGTGGGTACAGGACTTTTTTAATTGATTTATGCCCGGTTCCTATATCTAACGAGCCGTCGTTGTATACGCATTACTATCCGTTTTTCAACTACCGAATACGAATCGTAGATACGGTTCCTATAATCATTTTCTTTACGAACGTCCGTTAGTCATTGAAATACCGAGTCCTCTTCAGTGACAGATGAGCGTTTCGTTATATGTAGAATTGAAATTAAAGATAACACACAAGTCAAAATAAAATAAGTCAGATTTACATACAAATTAATCTTTTAGTTTTATTTAGTAAAACTATGCCATCGCACGCATCTGTGTGATCATTTTTCCCTTACCAAACAAATTGAATGCAGCTAACACCATAGAAACGGAACGTTGTAATAGTCAAGAGTTTTGGCAATGACGTTTGACATCCGTTAAACAAATATATATTCAAATAATCAATCTCGATTCATTTACAATATATTATTTACTGATAACAAGATACGTGTTTGTTTTTGCCTACGACAACGTTTGAAACTGACTTATATAGAAGTCATTGTTTGAAATGGATATTGTGCCAACAAAGTGCAAAACATAGAATGACCTCTATGTCTAAGCTTCTGCAAAGCAAAGGTAAAAATCATTCTATATTAACACTGTTTATGTGTCTCCCATACAAAGGTCCAACTTCTAATTATGTAATAAGTAAAAATATAATTGCATAATTATTATGTGACTTATTTATGTACATACATATTTAGTTGGACACCTTTTGTCTTTTCATTGTGTATGGAATTACTGTAACATTAAAACATGTGCTAATGAGCTTTCTTTATTACAGCCAATAAGATTAAAATGAACCAGGTGACGGACGGCTCCAACGTTATATTTTCAATAGC